GCTCCGGTCCTTGTGATGCTGTTCCCAGTCCTCAAGTGCAGTGGTATTCTCCATGTTGTGTGCTGCAGTCCATTCAGGGTGCTGGTAGCCAGTCCATTTTACCAGGTATTGTTGTTGGAATCCTCGTCCACGGTGGATCTGGCGGTAGTCTAATATGCATTCCACTTGGTATTCTTCTTCACCGTCAATAAGCGTGGCTGGGGGCTGATAGTCGTCGTTGCACTGGCTGGGGAAGGGGTCATTCGCTGCAGGTTGGAGGAGGTCAACATGAAAAACAGGGTGAATGCCCTCTGGTGTATTTAGTCGATAGGCATGTGGGCTGACCTGAGCCAGCACAGTGTACTTGGCTTGGCGCACGTCGAGCTTCTTGCTAGGGCGGTTCGTTCGGATGTTGTGTAGGGTGAGCCATACTTTATCACCGGGCCTGTAGTGCGGTGCAAGGTTTCAGTAGCGGTTGGCATATTGTTCTTGTTGTTCTTGGGCTGCAGCTAATTCAGCTTGAGCGACCTCCAATGCATTTTTCAGTTTATCAGCTATCCGCGCACCTGCGGACTCAGTGGGTGATGGTTGGGGCTCGTCAATAGAGGGTTCTGCCAGTAAGAGTGTTTCAAGGTGAAAGCCATGATCAAGAAAAAAGGGGCTGAGACCAGTGGAAGTTGTGGTTTGGTTGGCAATTGCAAGCTGTGCCATAGGTAGGGTATCTGCCCAGTTGTCCTGTGCGAAGTTGCAGAAGTTGCGGAGGTTGTCACGGGCTCGGAATAGTAGATAATATTGAATCAAGGTTCCTATCTATACTACTGTAGCCATCGACGAGAATCTCGAATCTGGAGAACGGAATCTATCTAGAGGAAGGAGAGGGTATTTATCTGGACACGGAGTTGATCTATCACATATGATGTGTCTCATATGATACATCAACTGTGATGCTTCTGAGAAAGTCTCTCCCGGTCCTATAGCGTACGATCGTCACAGAGGTGTTGGGCCGTCACAACTGGTGCAAAGCGGTTGCTTATTCTTAATGGCCATTCAAGTCATCAATCTGCAGAGTTTGATAATTTCTGCAAAGAGAATGCAATTATCTGTCTCTATATGCCTCCCCATACATCTCATCTTCTTCAACCACTAGATGTTGGTGTTTTTGGGCCACTCAAGCGCGCGTACGGGAAATTGGTTGAGGGGATGATGGTAGCTGGAAATAACCATATGATCCAACGGTCTCTGGCCAAGGGGAAGCGCCTCCAACAACTCGCAGAGCAGCACAATTGGTCCCAGGAGGACTATCACCAGGCTAATGAGCTGATCGGAGAGCCCACTCCATATGGTCTTCACGCGACCATGTTCTTGGTAAGCCTGCTCCGGTCGACCGAACTGGCCTGCTAGCTAACGGTTTAGGTCACCCTCCGAGAACAAACTACCCCCGAACAGAAGAAGCTTTTATTGCTTTGAGTTCACCGGTCAATCCGTGCTAGGATGGTAACCCCCCATGCGAGCACCCAATTCCTTGCAGTCTCTGGGTTAACTAGCCCTTCCTGTGGATTTGAAAGGGAACAAGGGCAAAGGAATTGCGGTCCGCTTATTTGTGAGGAGGAACCGCTCAGTCGCCTGGATGTCGCCAATAAAAAGCCCATTCTTTACGCAAGACCAGGAACAACCAGAGCATGGTTTCTAAGCAAGATGGCCAGTTCATCTTTCCAGTCTTCAGTCGAACAAGATGAGCAGTTCTTGAACGCCTATAAGAGAGAGCATTTCAAGGGCAGTGCTCTTGTCCGGGTGGATAATCTTTTCTTCGAAAGCAATCTTAGTTCTCAATTAGACGACTTAAGCGATCTGCCCCGTCTAAAGAGGGTCTTGGAGAACCAGGGTGTTCTCCGACTAGATCCCATTTACCATGTTCCCGTTCTGGTCCCCATCGCTGACTGGGGCACGCAGGTCCAATTACGAGAAGTAGGAGGTCCGCTTCCGGAATTGGATATACCAATCAACTACTCCTTGCGGGCCATGAAATATAGAAACCTCGTTACCGCAGCACGAGGCCAGCTGGTCGGCCTGAACCGATGGTGGGTGGCGGACATCTACGTCGATGATGAAACAGGTTCGTTCATGCTCCCCGACACGCGCCAGTTTCCTTGCCAGACACCTCCCCAGCCCCATCCGCTCCTAGCATGACTAGATATGAAAGGCCGAAGGACAGCGGACTGACCTTCGCTGGCTTTCAACATATTCAGACAGGCATGGTGATGAGACCGTCCATGAGCCACCTTTACATCAGCACTTCCTTCGCTCCCTCCACGAAGGCTTCAAGAACGAAACCCGACCATCCGATGGGCTGATCTACCAGAAGATTCGACACTACCAAGGTCAAAATAGCCCAGCGGACAAGGTGGCGGAAAAGGATTGGTGGGCTATCCTGGAAGGTGGTTACTCGAAAAAACCTATGTACCTGCGGGCGTTTTTCCGCCACGGAACACTTTCGACTTACTTTGACAAACTTCTTCCTATTCCGGGCCTGTGGGTCGATATGCAGATCGGCACGCTTCACACGCTCATGGCAATGCGGTGTAATGAGGTTAGTACGTGCCAATAGTGCCAGTCGTTGTATAAGGTGGGCCTGAGTTGACCTCCAGGATAGCAAGTTCGAAGTTATCTCTCTCACATCCGACAAGTTTGGTATAAGATCATGGCTGGTGATCCCCACCTCTTGTCACAGGTTGATGCAAAGACGGTTCAGCAGCTGCAATCACGAGTGCCGAAGATTTCCAAGCTCGACAGAGAGCATATTGAGAAGGGTTTCCACAACGGGTCATTATTCCCATTGATCATAAATGCTAACCATCGAGAGGAGTTGCTGGATCGACTGAAGATGGTTAGTGTTCCAATCCCATCACTGAGGACGTTCTTCCAGGATATTTTATATCTGTGCATTGCCAAGAACGTCATGAAAACATTAGAAAGGCTAGACTTGGCCCCGAGGCAAAAGCCGACAATTGATGAGGGGGTGAAAGGAGGATACCGCTGGACTCAAGGATTACATGCACCCCAGCAACATGAAGTTCAGTATCACCTGCTAGAACTTTGGCGGTTCAGCTTTCAGTATGGCTGTGAGATGGTCGGCACCAATCGGCTTGTTAGGAACACCAAGGGTCAAAGTGATTCTGTGACGTGGGACTTGCAATACGCAAGTCCCGATCGAAAGTCGCTCTGGAAGCATTTCTTTTGGCTCGCGAATCACTATGGGTTCACGGTACCGAATGACAGCCCGGTGGAGCGTTTAGAGATTGAATGCACGCCTGGTGATCATCCTGAGGAACTTGGAAGCGATGAGCCTCTGAGCCGGCGCTCTGGTAAGCCATTTGCAGACTCCGTGGACGCTGATCGCTTCGCGCTATCCTCTTTGGGCCTACAGCGGCAATGGAAGGATGATCAGGGAGTCACCTTAGGTCTTGTTCGGGGTTGGATGTTCCGTGCCTTCTTCAGCCATCTCATCCCCGCAAATGACAACCGCCCAATTTTAGTGGGCAAACGTAGTTGATTTGATTGAGTGCCTATCGGCTCAGGCTAGCTATGTCTACCGGGCAGAAAGCGAGGGCGGTCAAGCACGTGACCCGATGGGTACTAACACTTTGTTGATGTCAGGTGACTTGCTAGAGCCGCATCCCGATAAGAGTTTGCATGGCCGGAGGGGTTAGATGCTGGGGGGCTATTGGTTGCTTTCAGGGACTGCATTGAGTACTGTAGAGCTTTCATTTCCTCTGTCTGCTTATCAAACATATCTTGGATCTGTTGGAGTACTTCTTTCTGGCCATCATGGTTTTCACTGCCATTGTTGCTGGCACGGTCGCGCACCTTTGCTGCAAGATCTTCAACTGAACTCATAAACCGGATGAATAGATCCTGGGGGGGTAGCCCCTGGGTCCGGTCAGCAATTTGCTTCAGCTCTGCTGTTTCTGTGAGAATGGCAGCTGCATGGGCGCCTTCGTTGTGGTCTTTATGATTGTACGAGCAGTTGGGCCACGGAGATGCGGCTCCGACCACCCCTTTCTTCTTTGCACCCCCCATTGTCAGCGACAACTGGGGAGAACGTCGTTGAAAGTAGTATCAATCGATTCCGCGTGAAGTTGAATATAGGATTCGAGTTTTCCGCAGTGCGGGAACTCGCTCAGAAGGTAGGGGGGGGGGGGGTCGCCACTGAGGAGTTGTTTTTTTTAGTGAGTGTTGTTTATAACTAGAGTAACATTTTCTTGAAGAATGGACTATACCGCTACAAGCTACACCTAACTGGCTGCGGTGCAAGAACCCATCAAAAGATGCTATCAGCTTTCTTAGCAAGAATCAATGTAATTGCCTATTCGATATGTACCTCGGCTTCCTCACCACAGAGCACAGGCTCCTCACGGATTTCGTACATTAGCTCATCGATCACATCTCCTGTCGTATACTAACGAGTGCTTCGCAGGCTAAGAAGGTAGCAACGAGCTACAGTGGACAGTGTAATTCCAGGAAGCTCCTGCGAAATTTATTTTTAAAAAAAATGCCGCTTAATATTTTCAAGTCCCTGAAGGTTTCCGACAATCGAGTTGGACAACCCAAGTATTCCGAAATTCATCCGCCTTTTCACCCTTCAATCCCTAGGTAGATATCAACCCTTCTCCTATTGTATACTGCCACTCGGTGTTGATGTTCAACCTGGTTCGTCCTGTTGCCAAATCCCTCGAGAAATCCAAGTATTCATTACTCCCTGCTTCACCAATCTCACCACGAAATGAGAATTTCAATCTACGCAAGCGTGGCATTTTCTGCGCGGCGTGTCCCATTGCCTTATACAGCTTGTCGACTTGAGAACTCTTAATGAGTCCGCGTTTAGCATAATATTCGCTATCGTATTCCCATGGTTCAGTGAAGTTTTCTTCGATATCCCCTTCCCAGTCTTTTGTGGCGTCGTTTTCGAGGATCCCATTCCCTTGAGCATGTTGAGAATGACTATAGAATAGAGAGACTGCATTAAGATAATATACCATCAGGTAAATTGGGAGGTATCTCGAGGATCTCAAGGATTTCAAGATTCGGCCAGTATAAAAGTCGTCTTGTCGATGCCCTCCTCTGTATCTGGCCAGAATAGTGCACTGCTGACCCGGAAATCCTCCAAATGCACCTCTTTAAGTCGCATGCTGAATGATCGAAAAGTACTAGAAAATTCGTCCAGTCCATTGGCTGGGAGGTATTTGGCTGCATCACGGGCAGGGTTGAGGGCTAGCTCTCGTTGAGGTGCAATCGAATATGTGAATGTCTCTACCGAATCTGGTACCAGCGAGAGATGATAAATAACATCTGTGATGTATTGTTAGTACTCCTGCAAAAATAACTACAAGATAAAAAAAAAAAAAAAAAAAAAAAACCTTTTCTCTGCCCGCACAGTGCCTGGAGAGCATTTCATGTAATGTAATCACACTCCCCGAAAGAGACATGTTTGACGTGTGGAAAACAGTTAAGTATATGAAAGAAAACCGATGGTCGAACGACTGTTCCTTCATAGTCGTGTAATCGGAACGATTTGATAAACGGCAAAGTTGGTATGTCCTGGAAATCGTTGGCAGTGAGGTGCAATAAATGAGGTATTCGGCTCATTTTACACAGCTGGTCAAGAGTCAGAGACTCCATAACCTCTTGTTCTATCTCCTCGTCGGTAATACTGAGATAGTCATTATCACCCAACCAGAACGACAGTGAAATATCCGACAGTTGGCCCTCCCATGAACTGAGCAGCTGGAAAATATTGCGTATAGAGCTCAGACACTGCTGGTAATACCCTGCATAGAGCTCATCATTTCCCTGAAACTTCGCTATGAAATCGCCCCATTCGATCTTCGGCCACCAGAGAATGTGTCGAATATACCCGGCCCTTGCGCGTCGATAAGAATCGCCAGATGTGAACTGATGTAGTTTTTCAACCGAACCTAGCTTGACAACAGAGATTTGTTGCCAAATTATTCGCTCCACGATTGCTTGCCATTGTCGAGAAATAACCGCGTACTGGGCGAGTTTCGGGGGGGCCATGTTTTTCGAAAGGGCTACGTTTATTTTCATACCGTATCTCACCCTTTAAATAGGTGAAAATGAGATAGATTATTTCGTTTGGTAAAATCGCCATCTCTTCTATGCTTTGGTGTTATGAGTATGACAGAAAGAGTTGTTGCTATCGTGATTTTTGAGGCTAACTTTTCGGGTGGATACTGGCTGTCATATATTTGCTATGCCCGCGAGCGAGAATGTATTTCTATTATTTCCTACTTTCTGAAATCGGAGAAATAATACATTGCACATGTTATTAATATCGTCTCCCTCGAAGCATTGAATGGCACGGTAAACAGGGCTGGCTTTTGCTTTCCGGCGATTGGCATTTGTTCGGATCTCCAAGACGCGGGGATTCAACTATCCCACCTACCATGGAAACATCAACCAGGGATACGCATAGTGACGCAGTAATTGCGCTTTATATAAAGTCCGTGAATTCCAGGAGGCATATTAACCAGCTAGCTCATCTTTCTACAGCTCCTCAGATAACATGACTGAACTAGACACTTCTAAAGCCGAGCTTTCAGCACTACTACGTCCCGATGAGACAATAACCCCGGATTCAGCGGATTACCAACCGAACATTCAGACATGGGCGTCTCAGAAACAACTGAACCCTCGGCTTGTAATTCGGCCCACCTCTGTCGAATCTCTGAGTAAGGCAGTCGCCTACCTATACTCCACGGGTCTCGACATTGCGATCTATGGACGTGGTTTCATGTCACCATCCGCAAAGGATGTCCTCATCAATACAACCGCCTTGAACGATTTCCACTTCGACAAACACTCCGAGTTGGTGACCATTGGCGCGGGTCAGACTTGGGCAGAGGTCTTTCGGAAACTGGGAGAAGTCGCACCAGATTATGGAGGTATGTATATCCTGCATCCGTTGATAGTAGGCCAAGGCTGATAAGCTTTGCAAAGTCGTGGGAGCCCGCACCCCTTGTGTAGGGGTAGGAGGTACCATTATCAGCGGAGGCTTCTCGTGGCTCTCCGCTGAGCATGGCTGTATCTCCGACTCAGCCAACATGCTGGATGCCAGAGTCGTCAAGTATGACGGCTCAGTTGTCTGGGCCTCTTCAGAACCCGATCTATTATGGGCACTCCGTGGCGGCGGAGGTGGCTTTGGTGGTAAGGGTCCCTAGAACTAGAGCCATGTTTCTTAACTGTCAAGTCGTACTAAATCAGGCATAGTGATAGCTCAGGTTGTCCTCCGAGTCTTTCGATACCCGCAGAATATCTGGGCTGGTCCGATTCTGATCCCCCGTGAGCAGCTCCAGGCGGCAGCAGAAGGTATTGCGCAGTTCACCTCCAAACCGGTTGATCCGAAGATCACCATGCTTCTATATGTTGTCAAGAAACGGCTGTTGGAATCTATTGGAACGGATTCAGATATGCTGCTGGTTCATGCGTTCGACGCCCATGGTGAAGACCACGGCCGAGCTAGCTTCCAATGGGCGCTGGACATCCCCGGAGCGGTTGACCAGACGAAGATAACCAATTTGGCAGGTGTTGCTGATTTACAAGGTTAGGCCATCCATCTCGAATCAATGCTCTGAGAGCGAGGCTAATAGGGTTCCTAGACAAGGTGCATACTGTCAAAGGTTCGATGAAACAGTTTTGGTCACCTTTGATGCTACGTGAAGTCACCAAGGAGACTATAATCAATGCTATAAAGTGGTCTGAGGACATTCAACGCCTCGACCAGTCGCTCGGCGATTGTACTTTTCTCATCTTTGAGTTACTGAGCTCGGTAAGCAAAATTGCCTACATACTCACCTTGAATTCTAGCTCATCCGTATCTCTGTTCAAGCGCAACCCAGCGGGATCAATAACGAACTGTGCATGGCCAAGGTCTACTGGAACGAAACATGTTCTGGTCATTGGCACCGGATGTCCTTCTACCGCTGGGAAAGACAAAGAGTATCTTGCGCGAGATCTCGCCATCCATGCAGCCTCTAAAATCCTAGGCGAAGAGGCCGAGAAGCATTATCTGCCGAATGGTATCGAGGATTTCCATGATCCGAAGAAGGTACTGTTACTCCCTTTCCAGTGGTATTTTCAATTTTCTCATTCGCATGATAGATCTGGGGACCCCATTTCTCGCGGCTCCAGGGTTTGAGGAGACTGTACGACCCACGCAACAAATTCAAAGGGGCTATCAATGCATAATCATAATGAATCGGAATGGATGTTCTTTGCGGTTGTGCATGACCCCGGCTAGCATCACTTTGGGACATAAGCTGAAGAGAGTGGTCGGATTGATCAAATGAGGTCGTTGTACACTTTTCGGAGTAGAATTACATGCAATGGATTTACATCAACCTGACCAGTAAGTCATATCAAGTGGCCTAGTACAATATATTAGACATAATTAGCATGAAGAAGAAAAAGAGGCAGTCAACCTCTCCGTGCGGAACGATAAGTATCGATTACGATGGATAAGAATAAGAAAGTGTAGGGCCTGTCGCAATGGAGATTTCACTTCGTGCCAACTGGTCAACTGCAAGGGTAGCGCGCGAAGTACCAGAATCATTCCGAGTATCAGGAGACCAGCCCGTCGGTAACAAAATGGGAGCCCGTAAGCAGTTGAAGTGCCGTACACAAGTTCTTGGAACAAATGATTGAAATGTAGGAAACCTAGCGCGTGACGTAACACTCCAGAAGCTGTCATGTAGTCAGTGACAGGGTCGAGACCATGGCGAAACAACGGAAATTGAATTAAAATGGCGAAAAGAGAGCCATTGGGACTAGCGTAGCCTCAAACCCATCGCTTGAGCCGGTACCCTCGGTCGTCCATGATTCGTCGGAAGAGATTGTATCGCATGGCTTGACAATTGTATATGATCACATCGTATCCAGGTGAATTTTCGATCAGTTCAGCGGCAGGTGATCAAATCAGTCACTGGAGAGTACTTTTGTAATTGCTGCCGTACAGAATCCCGGGGTATATTTACCTTTTTGTCGAATCTCATTAGACGTAAAATGTCACGGAGCATGGACGCTCGCGAGCTGTATAGCATGTTTGATTACTTTGGCCTATTTGGCGTAGGACATTCACTGAGCATCGCTTAAAGCCCTCGCACACACTAGATAGCTCGTTGCCGGCAGGCATGCACCTTTCCTTTCTCTCCTCATGTTAGAATTTCGTCAGATAATTGCTCGAGACCATCACATAGTTAGTATTCCGCAATGAGGACATCGCTGTAAGTAAAATCGGACATGTTCTATGTTTCCACAAGCATGTGACTGATCTGTGGTATGTCAGGTAATAATTTGGGTGGAAGCAATGGCAGCATTTGCTGGAATCAACTATTTGGGATCTCGCCGATCTCTGTTCGGAGACGGCGGGTGTTTCTCTCCCAGACCTCGCCTTCGGGTCCTGCGTCGAATAAGAAGTAGTGCTTCTTATCGCCCTTGGTCGCGATCTGTGTATCTTTTAGTCTACTAAGAACGAGAGACGGGATATCATGAACAAAAGAAGAGAACTGGACAACCTACAAGAAGCAAAGAAATCCCATGAGCCGCACAGCAAATATTATCCATGCGCATTTCCATAGTTGCTCCGCCGCGCTCCGAGCTCAAAGGCGAGAGAGGAATACCCATGAACCGACTTGCAACTTTCACGGCAGGATTAGGACTTGGAGAGATGGGGTCGAGTTCGTCATTGACGATGACATGGATGTCAAGGGTGTCGATTTCGGCCAACATGTTTACTTGGTGAGTGTATATGGAAATTCTAATAGAACTCAGTTGGCACTTGGGGGGGGGTTAATATATGGTAATGTTATATCCAGCATCATTATTAATTAGAGAGAAAGTCCAGGCGTAATGTGAACTGCCGGCAACGGCTATGCCTCTTTCAGTCGGTAGCCGATTGCATACGGAAATATAATCCGAGGGGTTAACATGTAATGAAAACCGCTGAGTGGCTACCAGACTTTAACACCCGGCCAAAAAGGCTGGGTTGACATGGAGGACGAGGTGAGGCATACTGATAAAAGTCTTCTGGCATGCAGACAGTGACAACATCGTAATTGGCATCATTTTTTATACACTAAGGAATCTATTAAGATCTATCGCTCCGCCCCTGGGTATCCAGCACTCAAACACAAAAATAAGAATGGCCTCCCCGTAACTTTTATATCTTCAAAATCCTACAGAGACTGCTTCCCCCTAGTCTCAATCGGCAACAAGCAGATAGCAACAAACGAAACCAACAACAGCGCACCAGAAGCGTAAATCGGAGCCGACGCATTAACACCCCCATAAATCGCAATGATCGGCGCACAAAGACCAGCAATCCGATTCAGACAACTGGCAATACCAGTGCCTGTTCCACGGTTCGGCGCGGGGAAGACTTCAGGCGTATAGGCGTAGAGAACACCGTACATGATCATCTGGAAGAAGGATTCGAGAGCTGAGCAAACGAGTTGGACGTTGGGGTCTTGGGAGGCTGTGAAGCAGAAGAGGAGGACACCGGTGATGAGGGTGGCGATGGCGAGGGTGCCCTTGCGGCCGACATACTTGAGGTCGACGGTGAAGTAGGCGACCATGGGACCGGGGATACCGCAGACGGCGGTGATGGCGTAGTTGCGGTAGGTTTCGTAAACGGAGGATGAGGTGCTGAGGTACTGGGGGAGGAAAGCGTTGAACAGGGTGTAGCCCATTCCGATGGTGGTCCACAGGAACCAGATGATAATGGTTGTGATGCCGAGTCTCTTTGTTCTGAACAGAGGGGTAACCTGCTCATATGAGAACTTTGACAGAGACCGTTTGAAAATCTGCATATAGGAGAGCTTCTGGTCTGACACCTGCTCAGGATATCCACCAATCTCGTTCAGAATCTCATCCGTGAGCCAAGTCTGAGTCTTGTTCTTGTAGGCAATGCCCTGCACAGCGGTGACAGCCTCATCCTGGCGATCTCTGGAGACAAGGAACTTGGGAGACTCGTAGAGCGTGAAGAGGAAGAAACGTGCAAGGAACATGGCGAATGTAATGGCACCCAAGGACAAAACCAGATATCTCCATCCCCAGTTGTTTTCCTTGGTACAAGGCTCGTTTTCAGGGCACGAATAGTTGACGATGAATGCCCAGGCAAGCAAACTGGAAATCAGGGTGCCTATGGACCAGAACAGAGCCAGAGAGCTCAGAAGGGCCCCTGAGGCGAAGGGCAGGAATTCCAGGAAGATGGCTGCATCAACGGGCAGGTTGCCACCAACACCCAAACCAAGACAAGCAAAGAGAGCACACACACTGTACGTTGTTAAAAAAAAAAAAAAAAAAAAAAAAAAAAAAAAAAAAAAAAAAAAAAAAAGGTCCAAAACCATGAAGACATATTAACTTACGCGATCCAGTTGGGAGCACCACCGGCAGCGAGTCCAAAAACACCGCAGAGAAACAGAGTAATGTTGAAGGCAGGACGGCGACCAATCGCGTCAGAGGCCAGACCCCAGAACGAGGCGCCAACAATCAGTCCGACGAAAAGGGAGCATGTTGTAAACCGCACGTAGGAAGAATCAATTCCGAATTCAGCAGACAGTGAGTTCAGTGTCAGTGCCACACCCTGCATGTGTTAGTTTTGCAGTTGCTGGAGCAGTACATTGAACAGTCTCACCTGTAGCCAGAGGCTGTAATGATAACGGTTAGAAATGGTACATTTTCTTATCTTTTCATCGGGATACTCACTTGTCGGCAACCCAGCCAAATCCACAGAGAACAAATAGATCCCATTGGTACCGGCCCATACCAATGTCCTGAATTGCTCTGTTGATAACCTTTGCCTTCCCTGTATGATGGTCAGCATACCAGAGCAAAGGGGAAGAGATGCATGGGGTCATCGCAGAGAATTATGCAATGCTATCCTGCATCTGAACACAAAACCAGGCAAGCGAACGTACGATCATAGGCAGTATCCAAGCCCGAGGCGGCAATGTCCGATTCAACCTCCGCGCGAAGGGCTTCGAGAGTCAGGGAACCGCTTTGGGGCACAGGACCGGCGCCTTTCTCTTCCGAGGAAGCTGTGGTTAGCTTGTTGCTATTCGCATCGTTATCCGGTTCCTTTTCCTTTTCTGCATTGGGGATCGATTGTTGAGGTGCTGGGGCATCGGCAAGCGGTATCACGACACCGGGGAAATTCCGCCGGTCTCGTGAGCTGAAGAAAGCGGTCCAGTCCCAGTTACCCATGGTGATGGTGTGTTGCAAGTGGGGTGATTTGGTAGTTTGTCGTAACGGATCGGTACCTCAACGGGTGTTTGTGAATTACGAGTTTTGCGTTGGGCGGCTAGGTCTACCTAAACCTGTGGGATTGTCGTGATTGGGAAATTCCTATAACCTAGATATGAATGAGACTGGGCAAGAAAGTCGCAGGGATGTAATATTCCGGCGGTCCGTGGATTTGGCGCAATGGCTGCTGAGGTATTATCGGGGCGAGTCAAATTTCGGGGGCACGGATTGGCGCACACGGAAGTTGTGTTTCGGGCTCGCGATGGATTGAACGGCGCAGGTTTCGGAAAGTGGGAGTTGGCGCAACGGGTGTCAGATAGGCGATATGTTGCTGCTGGCGAGAATTGTTGCTACTTCAATCGATACTGAAGCAGGGGCTGCAGAATCCGGATCAAGTTCGGGACCGTTATAGTGGTGTGTCTATGGAAAAGACAAAAAAGATGGAGAAAAAAACGGTAACAATGTTGCTTGATATGCAGTTGACATGTATCGATCGGAAATGAGAATTAGCAGCACAGCTGATAGTTCTAATTCCTCGTGTAAGAATAATGCGCTCGATGGAATGGCCGTCGGGACCTGTATATAAATGAATTCGGACGGAAAGCGTACCTCGACAAGAAAAAAGAACCCTAAGATGGAGGAGAATTGAAAGGGCAAAGGAGAGAAACCGGCTTTGGGCGAGGCAGTTTGGATATATAAGTGAGTGCCAATGCGCATAAAAAGTTTTCGTTTAGATCACTGAAAATGGTATAACCGTAAAATGAAGTCATAATGCTAGCCATATCGGGAAGGTGGTCGGAGACCATCTGTCACCGAAAACGGAAACCCGTCAGCACGCCTTCGATGTACATAGTGTATATAATGGAGACATCTTCCGGATACTGGATAGTCTATTAAAAAGCGACTATATTTTATAAGAATTTCAGCATAGCAAGAAGCGCGATACGACAAGGGAGGGTTTACAAAGCAGAGCGCGAGATTAATATCGGCGAACAAAAATGAAATTTTTTGAAAATTTTTTTTTTTTTTAAAAAAAAAACCGGTCTGAGCCGAAGTCTGAGCTCGGCATACGTACAAATCGCGCTATCTGCAATCTTTCTTGTACCCTGGAATCCTTCGGCCGGCCTTGTACTCCGGTGTGTGCAATTTCTCGCTCAGAGTTGGTCAATTAGTGGTAGGCCGTCGGCCGTTAATTATGCCGGTGGATACATAGGCGGCTTCGAGGCCATTCCGGAGCACTGACTTGGCAAAGGTACTTTTACTCCGGTAACCTGTTGCCCCTTCGTATCTTCGATCAAGAATACGGAGTACAGATAACCACCCGTTAATTGTTTGAATTTAACACACTTTTTACTAAACTAATTATAAAGGCTTTCTGACGGAAGTTACTCCGGAGCAAAGCATCGGACGGATCCCGAGGGGGCCGAACCGGCCACTCCGTGCTCGTGCGCGTGTGCACTACGCACTATGCGCTCCATAGTGACATGCTGCCGAGTCAGGAATCCGGGGTAATGTTTCGGAAAGTCTACGAATAGACACACTTGTTGAATATATTTTCGTCTATATTGTCCATGGATCAGTAATACCAGGGACAAAGTATTTGTAGTTTCAGATCTCATGAATGGTCATTGCGAATTTGCCATACATGATCACGGTCATACCTCAGTGCCAAAATCGGGAGCACCTCTTCGTGATTCCCCAGCCAATTACTGAGTACATAACACCGCTACTGTTAATCTTATGGCCGACACAGACAGTCTCTACTCTCTATCGTGTTAGATAAACTTTCTCACCTGTAGATTCCCCAATTGAACGTCGGCCGAAACTGGGAAGCGCATGAAACAGCACTGCTACTAGCATATGAGCACGGCTGCCATGCTGTGCTCCCCCCCAGATTCCCAAACCCGGGGACAAAATATGATTGGCCTCACGTGGGCCAATGATTCAATGCCCATCAAGCCTGATGCTTTCCTCTCGAAACAATACAATGACTTGTGGTACTACTAGATTAAAAATTCATCGAAGGTTCAGAGCCCGGTGTTGTGGGTAGCGGTGTGCGCTACACATTTAAGGATACTTACTATACAATTGGGTGGCCTTATTAGGCCGTTTTGAAACAACTTTTGAGCTTGTTCGTTGCGGATTTACGCTGTAGCTGCAGGGCTCTTCGTCTAACCAACCAGCAAGAGCATTCGGGGGTGATCCACTGCATTTTAATGGTTCTCTCAGTAACACTCGGGGGTCTTCTTGGCCTCGTCGAACTGTCTACGGCAGACCGGCGGGAACGAATAGAGTGGTGATCGCGACTTTTTTTTTTTTTTTTTTTTTTTTTTTTTTTTTTTTTTTCCCTGTCTCTATCCTGACTCGAGATGAACATGTCGACCGAAGCTATCATTGCATTGGTTGCTCTTTTCATCGCGTGTGTTTCTGGTGTTCGGTTTCTGGTCAATCATAGACAAAAATCACTCAGTGGTGGAATAGAACCCAGAGTAAAATATTTATACTCCCACAGCTGTTTTGTCCTACTGTCATATACTGACTACAATGCGATCACTCGGACAATTACCAACCTGGTACTGCCGTCTCTGGTCAAGGAGTAGTTCCATGGGTGGTATGTGTCACGGTCTCGGAATAGAAGATAATATTGAACGGAGTTCTTATCTAAACTATTGTAGCCATCGACGAAAATATCAAATCTGGGGAGGAAAGAGAAGAGGAAATCTATCTACAGGAAACGGAGGTTTTATAGGCGTTTGTTTAACATCACCACTGTCTCTTCTAGCATGTTGGTGCCGTTTGTCAGTGTCAGCCATTGACGCAGTGTCAAGCCGTCACATAACTCCCCTTCTTAGACGGAGTATGTCCTCAGGCTCTATGTCGGTTTCTCATCATCCGGATGGTCATCAACTTCATCAATTTCTTCCTCCCAGGCCTTCAACCATTCCTGTAGACGACATGGGGGTCCTGGGTTGTCAGGGTAGTGCTGGTGGTAGTCGCGTATGCAATGTGGAGTGCTCTTGAAATTCCCTGCTGAATACCATGTTTGATCATTGTCAAATCCAACCCATTTGACCTGATACTACAGCCGCCGGCGGTGTATTCAAGAAGCAAGGACTTCTTCCACTTCCCACTCCTGCAGAGTCCTGCTCATCTCCCACAGTGATAGGTTCTGGTGGTTCTATAACCTGTCCTGGTAGCAGGTCATCAGAAACATGACACAGTTTGTCAGGTGAGAATACAGGGTGTAGTTTCATTGTCTCAGGAAGTTTTAGTCAGTAAGAGTTACCTCTCTGCTCAATGATCAGGAAGGGTCCTGCCATCTGGCTGTCAAGTTTTTTGTTTGGGTGGTCTGTTTGATAGTGGTGGAGTGATAACCACACTTTGTCACCTACACTGAAGTCAATGGGGCATCTTTGTTCATGGTCTGCTTGCTTCTTTTGTTGATCTTGGGCCTTCTGTATTTGCTTAGACACTGCATTCCATATCTCTTCCATCCTCTTGGCAGTGACCTGTGCCCGCTGGCAGCTAATCTGTTCATCTCAGGGAGGAGACCCTTCAATTGGCATCCAATCAAAGGATGCCTGGGGCTTGTATCCACAATCAACAAGGAATGGTGATGCACTGGTTGATTCAGAAGGTAGGGCAGCAGCGGTGAAGTTGATTAGTGGTAGTAGTTCAGACCAATTATCTTAATACCTATTAATGAATGATCGTAGTTAATTAACTATGTGTTGATTCACAATCTCTGTCTGCCCATCTGTTTGCGCGTGATATGCTGTGGAAAGTTTTAATTGTACCCCAAGAATTCGACAGAGCTCGTCCCAGAATGCTGATATAAACTGGGGTCCATGATCTGATACAATTGTTGTCGGAGGTTCTCTGTGATGATAGATATGCTCAATAAACATGCATGCAATGTCCTCAGAAGTAGTAGTCTTCTTGCAGGGGATGCTGATGGATCTTTTGCTGAATCAGTCTACAAACACCAAAGCCATGAAGTCCATTGCTATATGCTGCCATGGTCTCTCTGCAATAGGAAGTGGTTGAAATGAAATATGCCGAGATACCCGTACACTCATAGTATTATGACCCATAGTATTACTGCCAACACCCCAATTGATCTATAAAGGTATATACATACACAAGAGCTGGTCAGCCGAATCAAATAACTGTACATGCGAGATCTAAATTTTACTCGCAAACAACTTCTTCAGCTCCCTCCGCAAAATCTTCCCCGACGGATTCCTAGGAATAGCCTCCACAAAAACCACACCGCCCCGTAACTGCTTATAAGCCACCACCTTTGCCTTCACGAACGCTACAATATCCACCGCAACCTTGTCCCCCGTCAAATCCTCCCGCGCAGGCTTCACATACGCCCGCGGCAGCTCAGACCCAGCCTGTCCACTCGGAATCCCGACAACAGCACAGTCCCCCACAGCCGGATGCCCCAGCAGGATATCCTCCAGCTCCGCCGGCGCCACCTGGAACCCGTTGTATTTGATGAGTTCCTTGATGCGGTCTGTGATGGTGAAGTTCCCGTATGTGTCCTCGCAACCCACGTCGCCTGTCTTGTAGAATCCGTCTTCGGAGAAGGACTCTGCATTCGCGGTTGGGTTATTGTAATACCCCAGGAAAACATTGGGGCCCTTGACCCAGAGCTCGCCCTCCTTGGGGTTGGCGGATTTGGGTTTTTCGCCCGCGATGGGGGCGTATTTGGCGGTCACATTAGGGATCAGGCGGCCTACTGAGCCGGGATATTGGATTGATTCTGTGTAGGTCTGTTAGGCCCTTTTGTCAGCTCATGGAATATATGAATGATTGGACAGGAAAGTAGTACCTGGGAATGTGTGCATGGCGAACACTCGCTCATGCCATATTGCTGGCGGATAGTGATGCCGCGCTTGTCGCGCAGGCCGCAAATGAGTTCCAAGGAGAGCGCCGCCGCGGCCGAATTGAGCAGGCATAGCGAGCGCAGATCGTACCGGTCGACCAGGGGGCTCTGCACAAGCTGCAGGGCCACCGGTGGCACGACGTAGAGGTAGCTGATGCGGCGGGATTGCACAGTCTCGCAGACGGTCTGGAGATCGAAGCGGGGCATGATGAAGGTGTTCATGCCCAGGTAGAGGCCGTAATTGACGATGCCGGTGATTCCTATGCAGATCAGCAACGAAGTAACTCCGATGCGCAGAAGCACTTACCGTAGATATGGAAGAATGGGAGAAAGGCCAGTGCCTTGTCCTCGTGAGTCAGGAATGGTTTCCCGTCGGCGCCGTTGTCCATAGAAGCCATCTGGATCAGGTTTGCGACCACGTTTCGGTGAGAAAGCATCACTCCCTTGGGTAGCCCCGTCGTGCCGGAGGAATACACCAGGAACAAGAGATCCGTCTCCGGGTTTTGCACGGGGGAGATGTGCGGCGCGGCAAATGCAGCATCGAGGAGGGCAGATGCGTCAGACTCCCATATTCCCTGCGTCGCATCATCGAGGACAATGATCCGGTCTTTGCTCAGCCCAGCCCGAGTCGCGGCCTGGAGGACGGCATCGTACTGTGCTTTCTGAGTGACGACGGCCTTCGCGCCTGCATCGGTGAGATAATGGACGATCTCGCTGGCACTGAAATTGGGATTGAGCGGGCTGACGACGGCGCCGATTGAGACGGCACCCCAGATAACAGGCGGCAGATCGATCGAGTTGCCTGAGACGACGGTCAGAACATCACCTTTTTGGTACTGGAATCTGGATTGAAGAGTGCGGCCGAAATGGAGGGAGAGTTTGCGCAAGTCGTTGAAGGTGTAGGCGCGGTTGGAGGGGACGTCGGTGAAAATAACTGGTACAAACGTTAACCTGCCCGATTTCCGATAGACATATATAGTGGTGACCAACCCTTGGATTCAGGAAACGGCCGATCCGGGCGCAAGAAAAGAAAGCTCCAGAGATCCGTCTCAGGAACGGTGATATCGGGGTAGGGCGAGTAACTAGTCATGATAGTTGATTGATTGATGTTGAACACCTGGCCATAAATGAAGAACTGCCTTGAACTATAAGATTCCTCGAACTGTCTTCCCCGGACTACGCAATATCGGCAGATACATTCCCGACCAGTTTATTGGCCGCGATTCGAGGTCGGTTGCAATATGGGATGTCACATCTGGGGTCGGATTCTAGGTTAGTTGACAGCTGTTCGGATAGCAAAACCGGCAATCATGCCGCGGTCTCCGAGCCGAGGATGGCCACCAGAAAACGCTTGCACCAAGAATAAGCCAACATTACGATTCAGGAATATCTGCAGGTGTTGTTAGCATCATTGAATCATTGAAGTCATTGGCCAGAGTCTTTCATTTATATTTTGAAAAGACAGCTTTCCAACTCATACATCTCCGGAAAGGTGAGCCGATGCTTCTTCTATGACATCGCTATAATTCAGTAAACTTCAGAGTAATTGTTTGAAGCTTCCGGTGGAGGCTCTCCGAGATGCAACGATTGCCTTGCATGGCTCAACCCAATGCAAATAAATGATTTCGCAAACCGGCCCATGGCCGACAAAAGAAGGCCGCGACAAGCTTGGAGGAGCTGCTCCAGGGTTGCCGATCGATTGCGTTCGCTTTCGTCTCTGCGTTTCTCCTGCTTGTATTCGCTTCCCCTCGCATCATTATAGGAACAGAGGGAAGGATGATAATCAATAGATTGAAGGTGATTTGACTAGACAAGCACAAAATAGGATTCCAGCATAGCAATCCAGTACGCGTAGAAAGACTCAATACCGTGTTAGTACCACCGATACAAGGACGACTGGAATAGTAAACATACCTGATACCAAGGCATTGCGGTTCAAATCAGAATGGACTCTCTCAGTAAGAAAGACATCTGCCTCATCAAGCAGCAAAGTGCAATCCCAAAGCTGAGTCACCAGAAACATTTCCTTGAGTGACTTTTCGACCTCTGCGGGATCCAGTCCCAGGTCTCCGCATGTGATGGGAAGTAATGACATGACTTCTTGAAGTCACTGGCAATGGTTTCGGCTGTCGAAGTTTTGCCAACACCAGGTACACCATGCAAGAGAACTACCAGTCCTCTTCCTTTGTTCTGTACAATGTCTTGGCTGAGAATGGTTACTCCGTCTGATTCCCATTTCGAAAGAAAACGGCTTCACAACTCCACAAGCGCTCGAAGCATGCACTCATGCTGGGGGTTGATGACCAGATCTCGAGAATTTATTGGCCGATCTTCAATGGGTTTTATATTATTGACATCCACGGCGATAAACCTCCGATCCTGGAGTGAGTAGCCAAATAATCTTCGTGGGAGTAGGTGGAGGTCTTGCTCTCGGATCTGGTATTGGTGTTGGCTTTTGTTGATCCAGCTCGACAAAGAGGGGTCCTTATTCTCACAATACCCTTTTTTTCACGTTCACTGGCGCGCTTGATTCAAATTTCAGAGACAACATCAAGAGGATAGGCTCCAAGTTTGTTCCAGATCATACCGGGAAAGGAATTGATGAGATTCTAAACGACGTCAAAACCAGCGTGCGCAGCTTTGCGGAATCTCTACAACTGGCAAGGGATCAGTACATGGTGGACATGGGCCAGGGCATAGAAACTATCCAAACCGATGTCACTCGCCTTGGGCAAAGCCCACACACAACTACCGGATAGAGGAGATCCACCCTCATCCATCTACACAGACACAGAATACAATAGTATCGTCGATTCCGTTCCTTGCCATAGCCTGATCCACATTGTATTTATAACCAACATTTCTATTCTCTAATAGGAACTGTTCAGACTGGTCCCCACATCAAAAGTTTCTACTGTTTGTCTTGTTTGATCACCCGTAGGTTACCCATGGGTGAGGGCGAGGTCTATATGTGCAGATGCCAAGATAGCTCAGTGGTTTGAAGTTGGAAAAGAACAGCCAATGATTAGTGGCTGTAGCATGCTATTAGATTAGAAGGATTTCAAAGAATTGAAATTGCGCGGCACTGTGCAATGTTGGGTGATGGCTCACCCTCTCTATAGCGCACCCACCCAGGCTTACCCCTAGTCGCGCGACCAAAAAGCGGAATTACCCTCTAACTCACCCGGGATGCACCCACTGAACTATTCTACCTAGTCCAAATAGGAATACTACTTCGTTATTATCTACTAGTTAGTCACAACTGGCCGAGCCCGTGACATAAGCTACGGGTCAGAATATCTACAGGTGCATAGACAAGATGCAGCTCGAAGAGCTGCAACAGGATTCGTGAATACCACCTAGAGAAGGTTTCTACTGTCACTTCCAATTTCAGACAACAATGATTGTGTACTAGTAGATCTTATGAAGTGGACTTTTATGTTGTTCATTTGTTGTAAAAGAATGACTGAGGGGCAGAAATGAGATGAATTTAGTTGATGACGTGTCAAACATCATTTTTTTGCAAATGCGCTTACATACGGTGTTGATAAAATCCTGTCTGATATATACTTGGTTGGTGGTATTTCTATCCACCAAAATGGGGTAAAATATATACAGCCAAAGCTATGTACAGAAACGATAAATATGCAAATCAATACATTAATCTATAAATTCGTTTTGAGTCGCCCAGAATCTACATACCCATATGAACATACGCCGTCCACTGTCGCGGATCAACCATACCCATCATCTCTCTGCACTAGGTATTGGGGAGTCTTCGTAAATTGGGGGTTTTGGGCATTGCAACCAACAATGCAGCAGGCTTTGCATTGGTTTCATGACGAGCATTCTGGGCATTCTCATACAGATGAATCAATCCTTTGACCGATACACTATACGACGATACAGCCCAATCCGTAACAGTTTGCCCATCCTCCTTTCTGTGGAGTCCTGCAGCGTGAAGTGGAAGTCCGACCAATGTCCCGGTGGGAATCCAGCAAATGCGCGGCCATGCAGAAGCCTCCTCACCGAGGATTCTTTGGAACCCAAAATTCTCCAAAATAGGAAATGTGATGGTCTTCCAAAGATGTTCGAGAACCTGGTAACAGCCATGTGCACCGGAAGTATCCCATTTCCAAACCCACTCACGAAGGACAGACTCGTACACGCTTGGGAGTCGAACAGACTTTAAAACGCCATTGTGAATGATAAGAGCACCGCAGCGGAAGGAAATATTGATCATGACAATTGCCTGTCCACTCTTCCGAGATATAGCGTATAGCTGCTCCGTGCTAGGTGAGCGTAAGAACATTTTAAACCCATCAAAGCAACGTATGCGTTCAATAAGAGCGTTGAGCATTCTGTCTGCTTCTCGCAGTTTTGCCTCTATAGCTTCGTATGATTCTGAAGATGACGGGATATTGTTCAACTGGAAGATCAAACCCTCAAACTGGGCTGCTTCGTTGGGATGTGCTGCCTTCAACCGAGTAAGATCCTGTCGAGCCTGATACTCGTGACCTGCTAGAATCCCTCGACCTTCTTCCAGCAACGACACTGCATCGGCAACAGCTGTGTTGGAATCATGGCATTCTAGCGCCAAGGCAGCAGCATCTGATAGGAACCCTGCATATTTGCGCGATATATGCTGCTGATCTGATCCTTGGATAGAACGAGGACTAGCTTTGGCAAGGAGATGAATTCCCGATCTGGCGATCTTAAGTGCTGCATCATACTTTCCATGTTTCTTTAACATTGGAATTGCTTCAACAGCCAGATTCACTCTATAGACTGGAGGGAAAGACGCAGTTGCGAGTACCCCATTCCACAGTTTGATGGCTTCTTCAATGTCATTTGCTTGGTTTCTTTCAACGAGGCTGTAGCCCAAATGACTGACACATCTGAGATAAGTGACAGAAATGGGCGATAATGTCTGTAAAGCTTTCATCCCCACCTCGATACCACGACGGAGGTCACCTAGGCATTTACTATGCTCATACTTCACCCTCAGAAAGCCGCATAGATTTGTCTGATATACGGCCATATCCGGGCCTGTTGGACCAACACTGTGGATTGCCTTTTCTTCCATCTCGCTGGCAGACTCCAAGTCCGCTCAATTGGTTCCACCATGCGCCTCATACCGCCAGACGAACCAAACAGCCAGATTATTGAGATGCTGATGCAAATCAGGATGCGTCGGCGCTACTTTCAAGGCTATTTTTTCAATATTGATTGCTTTGTTTAACGATTCCAGATCCGCAGTACGCTCATAATGACGCGCCCACAGAGTGCTGAGGTTATTCAGACGCGATGCATACGTGATTTTGTCCGGTGAAGTGTCCACTGACTTCTTTGCATGTTTTATCCCGGTCTCAAGATCAGCTAGGGCTCCTCGTTCCTGGTAACTATAATGAAGCAACACGGATAGATTGTTATCAGCCTTGGATTGAAGATCCAGGTCATCGGTGTCGCTCTCTAGAACCTCACGGGTTAGTCGAATGGCTTCTTCCAGGTCATTTAGATTCCCCGTTGCCTTGTACCGGGATGCAAGAATGCAAGACAGATTCAAAGAAAAAACGGGATCCCCAGGTGGTGCATCGCATGCCTTCTGCGAAATCTGAGCTGCACGGTTGAGTTCAACTATATTTCCCACACGCTCATAGCGCATCCACAGTAGCTCTCCCAGGAAACTTTGACACGCTGGAATGTCTTTACCAGAGACCCATTTGGTAAGATCATCCGAACTGGCTAGTTCAAACGCCAGCATTATTGTGCGCTGGTTGTCCATGGCATGGTAATATGCAGCACAAGATCCGATAAATATCACCCCGTGGAGCAACTCGCCATTCAAATTCCATGCCTCCTTGCAGGCTTCGATGAATATACACACAACCCCAATGTCCGTTTGAAAGGGTCTTCCAGATTCGACGGCTATTCCCATCACTTGAGCAATGTCTTTGACATGGTTTGCCCTCCATGCAGGATCGTAGGTCTGTCCTTTGCGCAGGACATATATCAAAAGTCCTGTTGCCTCGGAAGCATCCTCGATGGTTCTACTAAATGGAAACTGGACCCATCTGACCAATAGACGACACCCAAGATCAACACAGACATTGTAGTATTCTACAGTGTCTGCCTGGATCAGAGCATGTGCTTCCCTGATATGTGTGATGGAGTCGTTGATATCGACCAGTTGATTTGCATGCAGAAAGCGTTGCCATGCTTGATGGGCCAGTTCCATATGATTTTGGGCTGACGTATCGTCCGCCATGGCTATCCTGCTCTAGGATCAATAAATCAACATCACTCGGATAAACTCATGCAAGAACGATAAAACCTCAGCTGAATAGATAGTTGCTGCTGATCATTGAGAGCGAAAATGACTACAACGTACATTGCACGGCCCCCTCATCTATACGCAACATCAATATCCACAATTAATGGGCAACTTCAGCTGAGACCATTGTCAATACCTACCAAGAGAAGGCAAGGTGATTACTGCATGTTTCTGACCAGCTGTCAATGCCGATCTGGGTATTTTGCTTCCCCTGGAAGACGTGTGTTGTATCAGCGATAGACCTCGAAATGGAGCCGCCAAGACCGGCCTGGGCGGTTCTAAACCTCGAGCCCTTGGTTGGGAAACATTTATCCAAACGCTGCCTCGCCGTTATCGGGCTGTGATTTGCTGTGTGAGCTAACAAAAGTCAAGTATTATTCCTTGTTACTGCATATTTAGAATTGGGCATTTGTGCAGAGTGGGTAGCAATGTGACATGTTGAGCTGAACCTCAGCCAGCCACATTTGATGCGGTTTTCAGCCGTATTTTTCAGTATTTGGCTTACAATATACATCCTTAAGACTAGAATCCAAAATATCGTGAAAATCTGATCAAAGCATGCATAACTAATTACAGAATAACAAGTTGAATATTTAAAAAAAAAAGTTACAAATTATCTTTTAAGCGTCAGTAAGAGACTAATATTCTCGAAGTAATCATCAGAATCTACAAGATGATCTCTTTGAATTCCAAAGGGGATCTGGATAAATCGCGACATGAGTGATTGTAATGACAGAACAGGTGTAAAGACCAGTAGTTAATTTAATTTGATAACTCAGCGATTTATCCATCCTAAATAGGATGGTTATGCAGAATTCTGGTCTTGGCGGGACATGGGAGTCTCATGGACATCCATGGACGGGATTTGTCAAGGTCTGATTATGGATGGATGCATGTAGACTATGTAGTGCTGGCACAAGCAGCCTGAGAATGAAATAAATATGAGCATGCCATCCTCGAAACTGATATCTTCCACAGCAATTCAGACTCTCAATTTGATCAGTTACTCTAAACCTCTCATCATGACTGTATACACCCCCCTCGTCCAAGATTTCAAGGAGTATGTCTTTCGTGACTACAGAAGAAAAGAGCAGTTCGACCTGGCCATCAAGTATGCCATCGAGCCCAGCCGCGGAGGCTCCGACGAGATGAAAGCCGAGAAAATTGAAACACTGGAAGATTTTTTCCGCTACTGCAACGATCTCCTCCATTGGGTGCCGCGAGTCAGCACCACCGGTGATGAACTCCTTCGCAAGCTCCTCGTCTTCTACTGGGTCTTCAATCAGAGGAACCTCGCCAACTACCAGACCAGCATCAACCCCGCCAGTATTGCTGATGACCCGAAGTGGCTGTCCTACTGGCTGGTCATCTACGCTCGTGAAATCGGACGTTTCTTGGATACCAAGGAGTCTACCGCGGGGATTGAGACATTCTACAAAAACAGCAAATACAACCAAGAGGCGGCCAAGTGGCAGGATGTGCCCGAAGGTGGATGGGCCTCGTTCAACCAGTTCTTCGCCCGCCACTGGAAGAACATCGACGACGCTCGACCTTTGAAGGAAGAAGATAAACCCGACAATGTGATTGTCAGCGGAGCTGACTCCAGGTTTGGCGGCCACTGGAATGTCGAAGATGGATACGTCACCCTCAAGGATTTTAGATGGCCCGTTGCCAAACTCCTGCATGATGCGGTGGGGGCTTTCAAGAATGGATCCTTCATGCACGCCTTTCTCAGTCCCAGCGACTATCACCGCCAGCATGCCCCGGTCAGTGGCGAGGTTATCGAGGCGAGGGTCATCCAAGAACAGGTCTATCTGCAAGTCACCAAGAACTCCGAGAGCAACGTGGTTGGTCTAGCGCCCGATCGCGGTCTTTTGGTGTCCAAGCCAGCAGCTTCTCTTTCAAAGGAATTATGGTCTCTTAATGCTCCCGATGAGCCCGGTTACCAATGGTGTCAGACTCGGGGACTAATCGTGATTCAGACCGAGAAATATGGCAAGGTGGCTGTGTTGCCGATTGGGATGGCCCAGGTGTCTTCTGTTGTCTTGTCGGTCCAGAAGGGCCAGAAGATCAACAAGGGAGATGAGATCTCATACTTCCAGTTTGGTGGATCGGATATTGTTCTCGTTTTTGAGAAGGAAGTGGATTATGCTGTTGAGTCTAAGCACAAGTGCAACATCAGGACTCGCATTGCCACTTTCAAGTAGACAATTAGAATCAATCAGCGGAATTATTATTAGGTTGCAATCGATCCTCCAACTTTGAGTTACAGTCTTATGACTGTAGTGGTGGCAGCTGGTTACCCCTGCTGTCTCCCTGTCGACGGCCATTATTCGTCTTGCCTCACGGCGATCGTCACAAATCCTCTCAGCCCAGTTCATCCGTGTGCCTCACTGATTATCCACACTCTGTTGCGCACAAGGCCCTCTACAGGATAGCTGGCGCATTCAGAACAACCTCTCGAGCTGCTCTGGAGATATGCCTCAACATACCTCCTCCAATGATCGCATTGGAACGTGCGGCCAAAGAATCATACCTCCGAATTGCCACATCACCTCTTATGGCCACCCTCAGCAAGATACGACATTCCGGCCAACGACCAGCACCAAGGAACGCAAGGGAGCGATGCATGCGATGGGCCACCAGCCCAGACCATGATCCTTTAACATCACCATTAGAACAATGGGAGCGACGAACCGCAATTTCTCAGGACAAGCTGGAGATTATACACCCACATGTGACCCCACCTTGGTGGGCAGGTCTGAAACCCCATATAGCAGAAACTCAGGAAGCTGCTCTTGCAACTCACAATGCCATCT